CTTCTGCTGTCGGCATGTTATAAATGGCCTATGATTTAATACAAACAAAAGAAGTTTATAGATGCATGAAATACTAAGTGTACAGGATATACAGTTAAGTATTACAGGATGTATACTAAGTTCAGTTGAGCAAATGGGTTACACATAACACTTTCAGACTAAGTTAATCGCTGAAAAATCCCAGACCTCTGTTATATTTGTATCTGGATATGCATGTGATCTCACCAAATGTGGAAGTTTCCACAGCCGCAGGCAAACATGCAACATCTGCTGTGAGTATTCACTCGGAAATAAAACCGGGAAACACTCATTAAAGAGGTGTTGTGCATGCTAAAGATAGGAGAAACCACATGAAGCCTTTTTTTTTTAAAAGTGTTAACTCTATGATTAAAAGGAAAAAAATACTTTGCCATACATCTTTCTTTTTTCAAAACACAGTGCGATGCTCATATTACTTTCCCTCTAATCCAGGAGGATACTACTGGATGGAGCCATTAATTCTATTATGGTGCACACTACAAGGGTAAAGTAAGGATAAAGTGCATGTGCGGTTAAGAGCAGCTTAATATTGCTGCTTCATCCTTTTTCTAGCAGAGCAGCATTTCTGCTTGCTCACCTTTTGCGCTATAGTAAAACCTGCCATTACTCTAGTTTTCAAATAGAGGGCTGCAAATCCTATTACGTGTAATTCAATCAAGACAGAGTGAAGTCAGGACTTATGTCTGGTCGTGATTATGTGTGCTCATATCTATGGCAATGAGTCTGTGAGCTCATGTGGTGAGTTTGTGGTGATAGAAGGGATGTAAGTAGAGCATGCTGGGTTCAAATACACCCAACACATGGTCTTGTTAGTATCTGAATGTAGCCCTAGCCTCTTTCTGACTGTAAAATAGTCATCATGTATGAAGGCCTGCTCACACAGTCAGCAAAGCCAATGACACATTGTGACAACGTTGAATGCTTAATTGATGACTATCTAATGCTATTGTTTTTTCAAACTGGCACTGCGACGCTGTTCTGTCACAAACACCGCAAGACTGTGTGATTAATAATGGATTGTAACAGTAGCTGTGTGTTTACACGGAGTGACCGCCTCCCATCGTCCGCTTTACTAATTGTTTGCTGCTGTTTGGTTGAACATGCGGCTGCTGATGAGAGTTTCTTTCTGAAAAGTAAAGCTGCAGAAGACTTCCTACCTAGCAACAAGCAGGAGACTGCTTTCGACGTTGGATAACTTATCATGATACTCAGCAGTGTCAGCACATTCCTGGGCGAGGCAAAAGCCTTGGCAGTGCCTTGAGCTGATAGAGGAGGACGTATAATATCAGCTTTAATCAAGTCTATTGATATGCCCAGACATTATGAATCAGTATTATTTACGTACACTTTGTAGTCAGTTTTTATACTAGGTAAACATGATAATAATTTAATACACCAGCCCCGGGCACTTACCATGTCTCAAAATAAATATAGTTTGGCCCATTTAGAAGTTGGGGACAGATTAATTTGATTCTAGGGTATTGTTAGGTGTTTTTTAGTATGTACATGTTTCTGTAAATAACATAAACTCTCTCAGATTCTAGATGTGTTAGTGATGAACAGTGTATTGTAAATAATTTCTGTTGAGTGTTGTATCTACTTTTATAAAGCTTTTGATATGTTATTGGGGTATTTGGATATGTTATTGGGGTGTTCCATTTCATATATCTACGTAAGTGAGTAAAATTTATTTGAATTGAATTTGGCAATGGTTTACCGCATTGCTTTTCACGTGATATGTTGATCAATGAAAACTGTCATGTGATTTTATAAACAAGCCATTTTTATCAATAAGAACCCTCTTTCTGTCCTCTTCCATTCTTTTCCGTTTCTCTCTACCATCTCTAACCTCATTTGTGTTCTCTTCTCTCCGATCAGATTGACTGTTATGAGAACTGACTGTCTATCAGACTCTGGGCAATTCTATTACCTGACCCCCTTATTGAAACTACATCCACTTTCACTGCGCAGACACAACAACCAACACTGTGAGAGACAGACACACATGTGCACACATTGGATGTAGACACAGGTAGGCGGCACACATGAACGCACACTGAGCAAGCAGACACAGGGGTGTAGGCACAGAAAGAAACATATTATACACACAAATACACTTGACATGCTGTTTGTCACTTCCATTTGGTCTGACTGTCTGAATAAACCAAATCTCAGCATATTTTGGTGATCTCGTCCCAGGCAGGGGGAGCAGTGTCCCATGAGCCCACTGCAGAGAGCCTCATTGCCAACCCACTGCGCCAACCCTGATGACATCGTCACTATGCACCATTCACCGGAGCAGGACCAGGCCTATTGTGATTGGCTCATATGTTCATACTTAATATATGACACTTTTGAAAAACTGCAGGTTATAACAATACTGTCCAAAACAAAGTACTATTGTAACAGTCTGTCGGTTTGCTCAGGTTTGTTTTTCTGTTTGTTGTTCACAAGTATCAGCCATTATAAATTAAAGATTAACAAAGAGGTCTGATGATTGCATTCATTCTCCAACAAAAACCATCTTTTCTCTCTTTCAGCCAACAGACAGCTGATACTTGTGACCTATGATGGGTACATCTGTATAAGACCAGTTGCTTTGTTCCTAGAAAACAGCGGACAGCCCCATTAGACGTGTGCTCGGTGTTCTAATGCTTCCTTTATCTCATTCTCCTTTCCTATAACTCTATGTATTCCTCTACTTGCTTCTTTCCCTCACTCGTTTTTCTGAGAATTTTCTCCAACCCTGACCCAACTCCTTGGTTGTACATTAATACATTTGGCCTATGAGTTGGGTTTTTAAATAGTCTGGTCTTATGCCTTGTATAGTCCTTTGAGTCTTAAAGTCTCCCTTCAGACAAAACACGGAGCCTCTGCAACGTCACATCTTGAGATTTTGGAGTGAAATGAAATTGACTTGTTAATTACATCATGAAAGAGAGGTGAAAGGTAATAAAGTTGAAGCTATATGTAGACGTGGCTGATAAATGGCAGAGTAGTTGTATCTCGTTTAATTGACTAAATAAATCACTCCATACTTTAACTGGAGCCAGTATCTAGGTTATTGACTAAATGTTTTTTTTATGACAAAGCTAGGACACTCCCTGGAAGCTAAGATGTATTGATCACTCTTCTGCCTATACGGACAAACACAAACACACGGGGAGACACGCATGCCTACACACCGCATACAGGAAAAAGGCACCTCCCACAGAGAGCCCACATAACCGCAGCCCCACACCGTCGATCAATAGTGTCAGCTGAATATTTACTTTTGAGCCAGCGGAGATCAATACAGATATCTTAACGGGAACAAAACATATATATATATCTGCCAAATAGTGATGTGTTGCTACAGTAGAAGGCAGCGGCTTACAGTAGCGGGTCAGTCACAGCAGAGAAAGAGTGCTAGCCTAAACATTGTTTTTCTTTCACAGGCTGAAATGAAAATCTGGTGAAATGTTTCAAATATCCTTGGTTGTGAGTGGAAGACTGTTATAGCGCTGTTCACAGTTCGTATACAGCTAACAAAGAAAGGAACATGGAGAGCATTTGAAAAGCAATAGAAGAAAAAGAACAATCAGAAACCCTGGCAGAAAATGGCAGGTGGACGTTCAAAACCCTGGAAAGATAGGGGAAGAACATAGAGAAAGGCAGTGAAGGACAGGGGAGGGATGAATCGAATAAATAAGTAGGAATAAGAAGGTCCTCTAGACAGAAGACGGTGGAGGGCGAGGCAGAATGAGAAACAGGAAAATGATGTGAGAGCGTGCAATTGCGAGAGAGAAAAAAGGGAGATAGAGAGTCAGTGACAGGCCACATGGGAGCAGATGGAGGTGTGTGCAAAATGTCAATACAAGTGCTAAGTCACTCAAGGGCTTCAATCCAGCTCAAATTGCAGCCTTGCTTCACAGTCAGGCATTCATACTGAGGAGCATCATTTCCCTCTTTTTCAAATATTCAAACAATGCCACAATGCCTTTATTTCTTTGTTTCTTTATGCAGTGAAATCACTCTGTCTGTACATCTATTACCACGGCAGGACCAGCAGCAGTGTGGCTGCTGCAGCAGCATCAATAATTGCTGGCTTCCCCTAAAGGCACACTGGGAACTCTGGGTATTTATGAGGGTGTAATCTCCTACCTGGGTTGCACTTACACATTCTCACCCGTCCCTGTGACGGGGTGACCCGGGGGGACGGGCTGTTGGACGGACCGTTTTGAGCCTGCGACATGGCAGCCTAGCAACATGACATGACAAGGCTGAAAGAGGGATGGGAATGGGAGGATAAAGGTGGAGGGGAGGAAGAAGGAAGGAAGGCCCCTGCCTGGAAACAGCAGTGTTACAGGTTAATGTCTAAGTTGATAAATGATTTGCTGTGAACGATGTAATTTCTTCTCGTACCAGTATAGGTCACAAGTATCTGTCTTAATTACATTTAAGGCCAGTGTGCATCTGTTATATTTAGTGCTCAGACTGGCAAAAAAAAGAATCACTTATTGCAATTACTTTGACTTGTATTGCGATAACTAAATTGGAAGGATTAAGCGTTTATGCATCTAAATTCTCATTATTATTTAAAAATACATCAAAATGATCATGGCGCGGTTTTTTATTTAGGATATGTACCAAACAAAGATATTTTGTTGGGACTGAAGAATACGATTCTTAGACTGGGATATCTCTGCAACTCCACAATACTTAATGAAATGTATATTTTAAAACATATTAAAAAATATTGTGCTTACTGAATTTGAATATTATGTCAAATTTCAAATGTTCAAATATATTTTATATTACCATATAGAAAAAAATTGTGCAACCCTATCTCGTATATGGGCATCTCAACTTGTAAATTGCAAGACTGTGTCTAGTGTGTCTCCAGACAGGAGGAAGGGAGGAAGGGAGGAAGGGAGGAAGGGAGGAAGGGAGGAAGGGAGCAGATGAGGGTTAAAGGATACATCCGCACGCCGCCTGTCCTGGAGCCGATGGCCAGGATCTTCTGCACGGGGTCAAAGGCCAAAGCAGTTGGCTGGTAAGGGAAACCGTGACGCACCGTCTGCAAGGAAATACACAAAATAAGACATTAGTTAAAATAGAACAAAATGTAAGGGTCATAGGAATTATGAAATTATTACAAAATTAATGATTTTGCTTGACTTTTGGCGTTTTATTGTGTGGTGAATCCACTTGAAGCTTTGTCATTTGTCAACTTTTGTTAGTGTAATCTTTAATTCAGTTGACTTTTTTTAACAAAAGCACATAAAATGTGCTTGTTTTCTGATGAAATGGTAAAAGTAATGAATTATGTCATACTACATTGCATGGTGTGGTAACTTTTAAATTGTAATCAAACATTTGTTCAATTTTTTTAACTGACAACAAATATAATAGAGGCTGCCAAAAAATAATTGCTTTGAATGTTTCAAGAAAAATCCTATAACTTCTTTATGTAACTGATTGTGAAAGTGAGAGCAGACACAACATCTGTATTTTTGTAAACACACATTTCTACTTTCACTTGTACTGGTTGTAACACTTTTGAATAAATATGGAGGCACAGAACATAGTAAATATGCATCTAAATCAATGAGCTGAAAGGTTACTTTTTCTATTGATAAAACATGGGAAGTTCGCACTGTATAATTAGCAAAGAGACAGCAGCATCTGTTAACGTTGCATCTGGATTTAATTGATAGTGAATAAGACCTGACGAGGCAAAAAGACAATGTCTCACACACTGCTACTCTGAATTGCTCTGCATGCACTGCAGCTGTCTGCCATTAGTCATGTTACATTTCCCAGCAGCGCCTCACTTGCAGATATCTGCTCTGGAGAGATGTACAGCACAGGTGTTGAATAGAAGTAATACAGGAATGATGTTACCAGAAAGTAGTAGTGTGAGAAAGTTTTGTTTAATGAATGTAACAATGCTCAGGTAAGTTTTAGAACATTAAATAGATCATAGTTGAAGCCGATATAAGCAACACTGTCTGTCAGAGACACCCTGCTCAAACAAAGCATCCAAACTAAAGTATTTCTCCCGTCTAATGTATTTATTTGTTTCCAAAACCAAGGTGTTTGCAAAAAATACCACATTGACAATAATCCTTAAACACCTAAGATCTCAATACAAGGAAATGGTTCCAAAGTGAACACATATTCAACCCATTGATGTATAAAGAACTGGATACTGCGCACTTCCTTTTTCGGTAAGCCCCGCCTCCAATCTGCTCCATTATTACAGAGTCAAGCCCAGAAATCCCAGAAAATAACACCTGATGCAACTACAGAGCGTATTTTACAACTGTTTTGACCCAATACTTAATATAAAGGCTATTGTAGTCCAAAATAAATTGCTCAATAATAAACATTGTGTTCTAACTCAGAATCAACTCATCATATTATAACATGCATTGTTGCCAGACTCCCCCACCCCAGCACCATCATAAACACCTTTGTTTGGCTGCATGAATTCTTGTAGCAGGGGTTTTGTGATCTCATTAATACTGCAGGGGGTTCATTTGGAAAGATAATATGAGAGCCTTTGGATGAATTAAAGGGTTATAAAACAGAGAATGAGATCACTCAGTGGTGAGGAGACTCGACCGGGAAATGGGAATCAAAAGTGAGTGAGAGTCTGTGCTTGTGTGTGGTTGCGCGTGTGTTAAACGTGTGAATGCTTTGCACACATTTTCCCATTCATAAGAAGTCGTGTTTGAGTCTACATCTGCTATGTTTATTATTAACACATATTGCATGACGTGCTTAATTCATGTTATATTTAGAATAGAAATAACCTATACCAGGGGTCGGCAACAGGCGGACCGCGGTCCGGATCCGGACCCAGACGCCGACCTGTACGGACCCGGACCTATAATCAATACATTAATAGGGGAATTCAATTTTTACGGGGCGATTCTATTTTAACCGCTGCCGACAGGGGGCGAAAGAGACGAGTGAGCGATACAGGGAGAGAAACACAGAAGAAGAGACGAGAGACCGGCAGATCAGGAGCGGAGAGGAAAGTGAGTGAAGAGAATAATTAGCGATACAGGGAGAGAAGCGGAGAGGAGAGTGAACAGGCGTGTTAGCGACAGACAGGGAGAGACAAATAATGACACATGGCGCTCTCCAAGAAGAGGAAAGTGGACAGTGAGAACAGAGCTTTTAACCCTGAGTGGACGGACTCATTCATGTTCATCCTGCCCACTGGGAGCACAGAACCAGTGTGTCTCACTTGTTCAGAGACCGTGGCGCTCATTAAAAGTGCCAAAATGCCACTATGAGACAAAACACAAAGTGTTTGACCAAACATTCCCTCTCAAGTCAGAACTGAGGTCACAAAAAATAAGCAGTCTCAGAGCCCAATATGATCAATCCACCAGGATCAAAATGAAAACTAAATATCGTTCCAGGGCAGGCTAACCGAGGCTAACCAATGAGCACCTGCATGTGTGTATGAGAATGGCCCTGACACCATTTTAGCCCAGATTTAAACTGCTGCTGCTACACTTTATTTTATTTATCTAAAATTAAGCACTTTTAAGATGCACATATTTTCAAAAGCTATTTTATTTATTTTCTCCTATTTTATTTTTAAATGCAGCCTGAGAGGAACATTACACATCCACAGTATTTGACTGTATATCTGTATAGTTCAATGTTAATTGACAATAAATATTGTTGTTTATTAATTGTACTTTCTTTATTTGATTGGCAGTCAGTTGTTGATTACATGCAGACGTTGATAAAGCTACAGGCTACTTCAATATATATCACACTAATTCATAAAGCAACTTAGACATTTTGACGTTCTGCATGGGGAGATTTTCTCTAACTGGACCTCGTTGAATTTTAGTTGAATACCCCTGCCCTATACCGTGTGTGTGCGCTACTGTAGCATACCAATTAAGAGTACCTAATCTTCAGATACACATACATCCTTCACTTGCCTAATAACTTCACAGCGTGGTTGCACTGCTACATTAAGGGCCACGGAGTGCCTTGCATACAAATAAGGTAGTAAGCAATAATAGAGATATTATTTGTGTAAGGGCTTAAACCCATAAACATAGCATCTTACAGTCCATTGAATCAAATTAAGTACATATATAAAGAATTTGCAGAGCTGGACATATTTGTTAATATTTGGATCAAAAGCAATATGTTTGATAAGGTAAACCGTTTTCACTAACACTGAATAAATACATGCTATTGCGGAGTATAATATGTAACCCTCTCACAACAATGCATCTGTAAGGCATTAGGCTTTAACACATGAACCATAAGCTACAACACCCCCACCACAATACACCTCTTCATGCATATTATAGAGTGGGGCAAGGCTATTTTCAATGGACTTTAAGAAGAAGTTATCTTGCATGTATTGCTGCATTGAATAGGATGCAAGTGTGCAACTTAATGCCAGAAGTGACAAAAGTAGGTGGGGAAAGGTTTACAGACACACGCCATAATCCTATAATATCATCACATTTCCCCATTAACCCTATTTTTTTAAGAGGACAAAGAGGAGGTTATCAACAATAAGGTTCCAACTTGACGGTCAAAAACACCCATTTGATTCTGAATCTGGAAGAAGATTTAAATAAAAGAAAAAGCCAAATGCATTAGCCAACTATTCTGAAAAAGAAAGAAATGGGTCACACAATTCATGCCCAAATTCATTCATGTGTAATGGCACGCACTCACTGACATATCTGTTTCCATCAGAACCTGGCCAGGCACACACATACACACATCCATCCTTCAGGTGTTGCCACCAGGCCCCTTCAGGTTCTCTAGCCCAAAACTAGTGCACTGTTGCTGGGATACAGGATATCCACCCCCTACATATATATACAAGAGAGCCGAGAGGCAGATGGAAAACACATTTACTGGTGAATCTCGGAGCAGCTCATATATATTTCAAGGGCTAAGCCATAAAGCCATTTATATTCCTCTTTCAGTGTGTGTGTTTTTGTAGTTAGATGAATGCGTATGGGAAGTACCGGCCTATAAATCCCATTCTACAGACTTGAAAGGTACAGATAAAGAGAACATGATCACTTTAAATATATTTTTCAATGAGAATGAAAATTAGGATAGAAAAAATTATCATTCTCTCGAATATCATGAATTCTATTGGAATAGCAACAAAAATAATCATATTTATCTATCCATCTCTCAGTCTACAGTGTGGTTTTACCTGTTGTTATCAATCCCATATTAACAAGAAAAACACAAGGGATAACTAAATGTAGATTCATCCTTTCAAAGCAGTTGCGGCATCTATGCCGCAACTGTTGACCTGCTGCTCAGGACCTGCGATATGGCTGCCAGAGGCTGCATAACATTACCTCTGCTCTCAATCTACCTCCTCCCCGCTTCTCTACCTCCGTTGTGCAGCTTTCACACACACACACACACACACACACACACCTTTATGCAAACAAGCCTGGTGTTTAATCAGATAACCCCACAGACATCCCCACCCCCTCCAAAGACTAATATCACCTCATGCCACCCACCATCATCTCTCTCCACACAGCATTCAGCTGCAGTGCTGGTCTAGACCCCTGCTGCTATAAATAGCACCACCGCCAGCAAATGTTGCATTGAGCAGCTATGTCTCCAAACACGGAGAGACACAGTGAAACATAACATTAAAATATCAAAGATATCTTAATGTGATTACAGTAATGGTGCATAACCTTTTATATACCTGATATGAAGGTACAAATGCTAATGTAACACTTTTTAAATCAAGATCAAGGCATTTATTACAGTTAAAGTTACCTATGGTATTAAAGATACCACAGGCAGTGTAAGAAAAAGTTTTTCGAGAGTACTTGTCCATGGACAAGTGAGTTTGGCAATTTTTTTAAATCGATCGGCATCGTATTTGACATTTTCCCACGGTTTTTACAACACCGCTAACGGAAGTGAGCGGTAAGATTTTACTGCATCACACATAGGGTTGGGTATCGTTTGGATTTTAACGATTCCGGTTATGCTTTTCGATTCCGGTTCTTTTTGGTTCTCGATTCTGGTTCTTTG